GGAGCAGGTATGAAACACTGCTGCAGGTTCATGTTCTTACATGTTATATCACATCTTTATGTTTCACCTTCTCAGCACAGAAAAGTCTAACAAAGTCATTTTCATCTTCTTTTCCTGATCAGAGGCTCCTGGTCAGAAGACTGAGAGATGTAATGACTGAGACTGAGGACAAGTTCTGGATCGGACTGACAGACTCAGCATTAGAGGGCAGATGGTTGTGGGCGGACGGCTCACCACTGCATCAACGGTTTGTTTGTTGTGAAAATATATTTTTTTCATTTCCAGAATTAAAGTTATCAGTTTTTACTAAACCAATTATTTTTGTTCTTCAACTCTTAGTTTGACGTTTTGGAGCAAAGGTGAGCCAGACAATTGGAACGGGACACATGGAGAACATCCTGATGGAGAGGACTGTGTGAGAATGGGAGAAAAAGGTGGACCTGATGATCTGAAGTGTTGGTTTGATGCATTTTGCTCAAAGCCTCACAGAAGTATTTGTGAGAAAGCAGAAGTAAAAGGACAGTTTAAAAAAGTATGTGACTGAAATTCACATATGAAACACCAGGATGAAGTGATGCAATTATTAAAATAATGCCACAAACAGAAACAAAATGAACTCAGTAAAATCAACATGAGTAATATTTTGCATCTGATACTTTTTAGTTTTGAAGCGATTAACACGAACAAGAAATGTGGGAGCACCTGTGAAACTCATTAATTTTTATAATAAAATAATAAATGATCCTGTTTTGTAAACTTAAAGCCATCTAGAAAGTTAAAAAGTATTTTGGATACTGAATCAATGAGTACATCATATAACAGAAGAACCTATGAATTATTTATTATCACTTTTACAGGAAATAGAAAGGAACGAAGAAAGAAAGACATGTGAAGTGTTACAATGGAATAAGTAATTCACGTCAGTGTTATTAAAAATAGGAATGCAACATTTAACATCGATTCATCCATTACAAGAAAAGGAGGCTGTGGTTCTCAGAGTTTTCAGTGTGAGAAGCTGTTTGTAAATGTGGTAAATGATACACATTTCTTAACTCTCACATCTGTGACTCCTGAAAAACCTCTGACAGTGTGGTGCTGTTGTTGTTGTTTTTTTTTCCAAATGTGTGTTTGAATGACAAGAAATTAAATGAGCAACAGAACATTTGCTGTTGTTGTAAAATCCTGTCGGCTTCTTGTGTTAACCCGCTTTTTTTTGCGGGGGGACGGGGGCATCCAGGATCTGAAGCAAAACCGGCAATAAATTATAAATCATTAGATATCATTACATATTATTAATAGATATTAATCAATTGAGCAATTGTTAAAGAAGGATCTTAATTTTAAGATTTCAAGTGTATTTTTAATTTTAAGTGGAGTGCGATCCTAAGTTACACCACAAGAGGGCGCTTCAAGGTCTGGCACAAAGTTCTGTCCATAGACATTCAGACCTGTAGATACTGTACCTTTATACAGATGACTG